GGGCGCCGCGTCCCAGCGCAGCGCCGCCGGCGGCTCCGCCGCGTCGTCCCAGCGCAGCGCCGCCGCCGGTTCCTCCGGCTCGTCCCGGGCCTCGGGCTCGCCGCGGCCGATCTCCGCGTTCGCGGCCGCGATGAGCGCGGCGCGGTCCTCGGGGTCGACGCCGATGGCCGCCATCATCGCCGCGTCCTCCTCCGGGTTCTCGCCGAAGGCCGCCATCGTCGCCTCCTCCGCGGCCGCCTCCGGGTCCCGCGCCGCGAGGCCGAAGCTCGCGCGGCCCTCGGGCTCCTGTTCGCGCTCGGGCATGGGCGGCGGCTCGTCGGCCTCGCCCCCCGGGAGCGGGTCGTCGTCGTGGCCGTCGAAGTCCGCCTCGTAGTCCTCGTCGACCTCCGCGGGCTTCGCCGCCTCCGGTTCCGGCGGCGCGGCGTCGTCGTCGTCGTCGTCGACGACCTCCGCCGCGGGCGACGCGGCGCGCTTCGGCGTGCCCGGCCGGCGCCGCGGCGTGGCGCCCTTCATGGCCACGGCCGCGGCGCCGTCGTCGCGGAGCGCGGCCGTCGGCGCGGGCAGGTCCTCGTCGTCGATCGCGCCGGGCGTCTCCTCGTCCGCCGCGGGCCGCCGCGGGGGCGTCGCCGCAACCGCCGCCGGCGGCTCGTCGAAGAGCACGTGGGCCGTCTCCTCCTCCACGGGCTCCGCCGCCTCCTCCGGCGGCGGCTCGTCCGAGGCCGCCGGCTCCGCCGGCTCGTCGAAGCGCGCGGCCGCCGGCTCGCTCGCGTCCGACCCCGGCGACGCGAGCGTCTTCGCCGTCGACTGCAGGTCGCTGTCCGCGGGCGCGACGCTCGCCGGCGGCGAGTGGTCCGGCGGCGGCGGCGACGCAAAGTCCGCGCGGTCTGGCTCCGAGGCCGGCGACGCGTCGAGCGCGACGGCCGGCGGCGCCGCGGCGTCGGCGAGGACGACCGGCTCGTCGTCGAGGACGACCGGCTCGTCGTCGAGGACGACCGGCTCGTCGTCGAGGACGACCGGCTCGTCGTCGACGGGCGCCGCCGCGCCGGCGTCCGCGGCGGCGTCCGCCGCGGCGCCGTTGACGGGCGCGGGCGGCGCGGCGACGGCGTCGAAGTCGACGAGGGGCTGGTGGCTGATGTCGAAGGAGCCGTCCGTGTTCAGGCGGACGACGTCGCTCGGGAGGTCGGCCATGTCCGGGCTCACGATCGCCGGGTCGCGCGGCGAGAGGCGCGGCGTCGCCCCGGCGGGCGCCACCATCTGCTCCATGGGCGCCACGCCCTGGTCCATCATCTGCTCCTGGTGCATGGACATGGCGATCTCGTAGGACCGCGGCGTGAGGACGACGTCCTGGCCCGTCGCCGCCGCGCGCTCCATCTCGGCGTGGATGTGCTCGCGCATCATGGCCTCGGCCATCATGGACTCCATCATGTGGTGCTCGATGG